TCTTTCTTTCTTTCTTTCTTTCGTTTCTTCTTTCTTTTGTGATACTAAGAATCCAATTCTGGATCTTGTGCTTGCCAGGCAGTTGCTTATACCATTGAAATATCTCCCTGGCTCTGAATTCCTATTCATGACTACACTCACCAGGAAACAATTAAATCTAAGTCTATAGAAACTACTTGTTAGAGGGCCGGGGAGATAGCTCAGTAGAATAAGTGCTTGTCTGGCAAGTACAGAGTCCTGAGTTCAATCCCTGGTACCACCAAAAAATCAAACAAAACTACTTGTTAGAAACTACACTATCACTTACATTTTTATTTGAAACATTTCCAGATGTTAGGGACATAGCAGGACAAAATAAACATAGTCACTAATAAATTATGATTAACTTTAATAGGTTGTTAAGTATTAAAATTGATGTTTGATTATAAGTGAAGAGTAAATTTATGAAGAAGAAGAATGTGACTTTTTGAAGGTTATAACTCAAGCAAACTGACCTAGCAAGGAGGTTACAGCAGGAACACTTGTTTACCCAATTTGTATAACTTTAGAGAGGATGCATACACACACACATCGATGCAGAGTCAAGCTCAAGTAACTGAAAGAAAAGTATTACTAGCTTATGAATCCATTTTTACCCACTATTCTCCTGTATGATATCACAGCAGCATTTTATTATGTAATCCAATATAAAAATAATTTTTTTTCTAAACAAAAGTCAATCCTCAGGCTATCTCTTCCATGGATATAATTTCTTTAAAGGCTGTTGGAGTTAAAACTTTATAAAGCCAGAATGTAACAGTTTCTCTGGACCTATATTTCCAGGAAGGGAAATCATAAAGACAAAGCGGCATTAATAACTGCAACCAAGATTAAGTAGCACAAACATTGACCTAAGCAAACAGCATTGAAATCAATTGACAGTGATTTTTTTTAGATTCTCTGTAGTTTTCCTTCAGATGTTTTTTTCTCTAAAAAATGAGAATATGCAATTTGAGTTCAACTCAGAACAAATTATATTTCCTTTTGGATTACCGCTTCTGCTCCTCCCAAGGAAAGTAAGTAAATTCCAAATGAACTTACCAGGTTCCCTACAGTCAATACACTACTGAACTGCTCGGTCATGGGGTAGTGCTCCATAGCCATGAAGAGGGTATTTAAGACGATGCAAATAGTGATGGCCAGGTCAACAAATGGGTCCATCACGATTAGATTCACAAGGTGCTTTACTTTCAACCATGCATCACAGCAATCCCAGATTAAAAACACATTGGCAAATCTATACCAGCATGGGGGACATTTCTGTCTAGATTCTTCAAGTTCTGAGGAGACAACAAAGATGAGAGGTAACTAACAATACGAATGAACTGTTCTTGTCAGCAGATTTCATACTATTTGATAAAACTAATACTTACACTTGAAAACAGACATTTAATTCTACCAACTTGAGAAGACAATCTTACTTACATTTTGCCATAAAAGTACCACTTTAAGATATCACTTGGATAGATTCTCTTTTTTAATTACAAGACATGAGTACTCTGAACGTAATTTGTTTCAAAATAACCTGTGATTGGAAAATAGAATTTCCAAATACATTTGCAACAATGTTAAATTTAGTAAATTATTTCTTTTAAAAATGCCTTTTTAAGAATACTATCTACAGCCATGATCCTTATTAATGTGTGACTCGTTTCCTCTGATTGTCTCCAAATTAATAGTAGTATTCCACAAAATAATAATGTAATATGGCTTTTCTTTTTAGTCGAGATTCAGACTGAAATCTACATCTGTATTTTTCTAGCTTCCTTTGTGAACAAATTACTGGTAATAATAATGCATGAATTCTGTTATAGAAATAATATTATATGACTATTTTGAAATTAAATATTTCAATACAATAGATACAAAATGTAATTGGTGTTTTCTATAAAGAAAATATGTTACAATTTATATAGCTGAGTTACAAATTATAGTAATAAAGCAACATTTCTCCAAACTTTAAGGAATAAGGATTTGCTGAATGCATGGACCAGGGATTAATAGTTGCTGACCACTCCTGCGCATTAAAATCATCAAGCATTAGTGTCACCTGTCCTGTTGAGGAATGTCATGATTGCAGTGTGTCTACAAGATGCAGGAGAGATATTTTTAGAGTCCTCGTTGGAGTGGGACTCAAGTCTTAATTTGTCCAACTCATTTATATTTGTCTCTGTGATACCACTGCAGGTCCAGCTTTAAAAGGTAAGTGTTTTCTCTGTGTGCATAAGACTGATATAATATTAGAAAGAGTCTTCACTGATACAGTATCAAATGGTAAAATATCACTCTGGAGATAGGATAAAGAGTCAAGTAAAAAATAGATGAGAATTATGTTTACAATCAATATAATAATAATTAACACACACCCCCACATCTGAAATAGAGTTCTCCTGTTGGAAAATAGATACCAATGACTACAAAAAGAAAGAATAGCTCCCCAAAACTGCGATCAATACCAAGCCGACTCTCTCACGGCCTGTTTCCTACCCTCCATCGTGTTGGTCAGGATGCTGGCTATGCTCATGGCTCTTTGCCTGCCCGAGGAATCTTCCAGCATTTCCATTGAAATCTGGTAAGAGCTTAGCCTTCTCTTTCTGACTTCTGTTTCAGTGGTGGTGCCCTGCAAACCAAATACCAATAGCTCAAACCATCCTTTTCACTGGTTAACATAAGACCATAAATATCTCTTTGGACAACCATGCTGCATGCAGTTTTTTCCAGGTAACAATTTTAAATGATTGTTGGTTATGTTATAAACACTTTTTAAAAAGTCACACATGATGTCCTTTGATGAGAATTCACTGGTGGATGCAATTGCTTAAGGCAACACATTACAGAAATAGTTCAAATAACATGTCAGAGTTTTCATAGAAAGTTTTGCAAGCATGCCAAAATTTGTTATTATTTCATTCCAATAAGACTGATTTTTCTTCTTATAACAATTATTAACAGCCAGCTCAGTCTTGCCCCAAGGTCAATGCTCCCATATAGCCTCAAGGCTGAATTACTTCCTTTGAGGCTATATTGATATACATGGGCCAAATTTTTGCCATGCACAAACACAGATGTACAATGAAATGTGTGTGCTTTCCTGATATTTATTTAATTATTTCTATATACCATTCTGCAAAGAATCAAAATTTTATTTTAGAGACATTTTAAATAGTATTGGAATACTGACAGCTCTGTGAAAATTGACCATTGTCATTGTATTGGTCATCGTAGTATTGAAGGAATATGAACTTCCCAGAGTAGGAATAGATAATTATGTAACTTTGGGTGAACCTACATCTATATTAAAGATTTGATTGCCAACATGTTCATTATTTTGTATTAGTAGGTCTACGGAATTTATAGATACGCTTCATCCAAGATTCTCAAAATTAAGTCTTTTAGCCTAAAGTATTTGAAAGCTAATGGTTTTATACAGTTTAATTGGTTCTCAAAATTTTGTTTCCCATTTAATGAATCATGTAATGTTTTTAAGGACTTCTATTTTGGGAAAGCAAGATGATTTAACAGGCTAAACTGTCCAGACCTTAATTATATCAACTGCTATATACTGGGTGTTAGTCAAAGCTAGGTTATCTATTATCACCTCTGGCTAAAGTGGTCCAGTAGGTGACGTTAGAGCTGAAGGTTCACCCACCAAGGAAACCACACCATTGCAATCCACAGTGCTGTGCATCTTCCCATTGGCTGGAAGCCCTGGCACCATCCTGGATGACATACTGGCCTGACTAACGTTACTGTTGCGTCGCTCTCCGTGTCTGGGCGGCACAAACAGTGAGTCTCTCCTGCTCTCGCTGTCCTCGAAGGTGCTGTGCTCATCATCAGCAAAATCATTCTCAGACCCCACATCCTTGGCGCGTCCTCGGAAGCTGAAAATGCTTGTCTTGCTATTGCGTCTTGGGGAAAACAGGGAGCCGCGGATGCTTAGCAGAGACTGGAGAGAGAGTGAGGAGGAGAAGAGTGGGAAGGGCAGCATGGCGTGGGGTGGGGCGCAATTGTTTAAAATACATTTTAATATTGTAGAAATAATTTGTTTTCTGATTGGAGTAATCTTGCTCTTAAGCGTAAGTAACCAAGTTTATATAGAACACATATCTTTGGGTGTTTTTATTAAAGAGTATAATGAATAACTATAAAGAATGTCTTTTTGACTAGGAGCTGATTTGCAGTTTACAGAGTGCACAACCATTTTATTTAGTCTTCACTCATTTAATACTATGACTGGGTTGTGTTATGATAGGACAGGTGAGGGAACGTGAGAAGCAGGGGAGGATGAATGACCTTTTTAGGTGGGAGCAGTGGTTTTTACTAGTGCTTGGCTTCCAATTCTCAGTGCTGAGATATGAAAGACATGCAGCTGGGAGAGTTAAGTTTTGGCTCAAGTGAGACTGTTGATTCAGATTTTTAATATTTTTATAAAATAATTTACACTTTGATACTTGTAACATTGAGCACAACCTTATTATCTCTCCATTTTCTTCTTCTAGATTATAAAATGAAAGTCTTTTATTTGTCTGTCTCTTTCCACATAGGAACCCCATGATTCTGTGTTGAAAGTCTTAGTATTTCCCTGATGGCAGCCAACAGTTTACCTTCCTTGACATGGTTATCTGTCATTGCAAATGCCACACAGAGGATCCCTATACCACTCAATAGATCATCATTCTTTTTCAAAATTTAACTATAGCTCTGGATGTGATGTTTCAGACCTGTTATCCCAGCATTCAGGAGGCTGAGGCTGAAATACTGGAAGTTTGGGGCAAGCCTGGGGTTATATATTTAGTTCAAGTTCAGGCTGGATCACACACTGGGACCCTGTCTCAAAAAACTAAAGTAAAAAAATAATATCAGCAGCAAAATAATTAGCTTGGAGATCTAACACATCTAACAGGATTTTGCTAATGATAGTCATAGCTCAGTCTTTTACTCTCATTTTAATTGTATTGAAGTGAATTACGTTGTTCAAAATCTTTCAGGGTCTTTTGTTGTTTGCTTTCTGCTGGAAATAAAGCCCAGGACCTAATGGAGGCAACACAAATGCATTACCCATGTGCTACATCACTGGATCACAAAAGATTTTATTTTTATTTATTTACTTATTTTGTCTTTTTGAGACAGGGTCTCTATATGCAATTCAGGCTGGCCTTGAGCTCACCTTGCTCACCTAGGGTGGTCTTGAACTCACAATGGTATTCCTGCCTCCCAAATGCTGGAATTACAGGATTGCTTCACCATGCAATAAGTTTTATTCTGGATATTCACAAATCAATCAAACAAATATTTTTCAAATACCAGAAAATGGGGATTCAGCTTAAAGTTCCTTTCATTTTTGAATGGATTTTTAACTTTGCAATTAATGATAATTTTCAGGAATATGCATCTTCAACAGTAGTGGGTTTTCCGTAAGACTGGCAGTGTCAGAAGTTGTTGACTTGAGCCTTTTACAGCTCAGCATATTAATATGGCTTTACTTTCTACACTTCGTTTTAATATTTTTCTGCTGGATGGTTAAGACCAGGATAAAGCAAGAGCTATATAACAAATAATGTAACTTTAGTGTCTGTCAAGGTCAGGCAAATCCCCTCAGGATTTACCTTGAAACCTTGTACAGCAATTTGTAGATCTTTTGTCAGTGGTAGCCATGTGGACGAGTCATGGCAATTGCTTGACCAATTTGCTGTCTGTGAAAGCCTGAGAGAATGTTTTTTCTCCAGGTGGCTCTCCTTAGGCACACTCTATACTACTACTATAGATTACTGGACTATATTTGATTACTTTGCTGAATTCACATACCTACAGTATATGAATAGCAATGAAATACCCATCTCTGACAAAAGTAAAAAAAAAGGGGGGATATAAATGAAGGACCATTTTGTAGTGAAAAAAATATACATATGTATCTAAATATACAAAAATAGTTATCATAAATATATAGCTACTTTTTCTTAGTTCAATGAGAAGAAAGTTTTGAACTAATAGCATTTAGAAATGATACCATATCTGCATCTTTTACTATGAATAACTAATATAAAAACAACAATATACAATGTATTAATTATTGTAACTGTCTTACTAACCTGTTTTAACACTATCTCATTGCTACTTCTTTCTCAATAAAATTAGTGAAAAAAAAAAAAAAAAGGAACATGCATCTTCAGTCTGCAGAGTATCTGTGAACTGTCCTCACCGCTCACACCTCAGTGTTCCTCTGTGGCCATTCTGCTTCCTCCCACTCACTTCCCCATCTCTCTCCAGATACATTGTTGGGGCTCATGTCTAGATGTTCCCCAAAGCCTCACATACTCATAGGCTAGGATTTCTGAGAGGTGCTTGGATCATGGCTCTGTGACACTGGATTACGGGTGCATGGTAACTGGATCAGTCCACTGACTGGAAAATGGGAAGCCTGCTCTGGTGTACATGGGATCAAACAATAGGCTTATAGCCTGCATGGAATAAAAAAGAGAAAAGAAGGCTTGTTGTTGTTTCCTACCTGCCATATCATGAACCTTTTTTCCTCAGCCAGGCTGCCCGGCTTTGGAATCAGGTGTGGACTGAAATCTCTGCAACCTGCAAGCTAAAAATGTACCTTGTTTCTTTCATCTGTGGATGTAATGTATTTTGCCGCAGCAATGAAGAAGTAACTGCCACAGATACACATAGGAACTTATGCATATGGTACGTACCCTTGCAACAAAGGTACTTGGCTATTTCCTTTTTTCTTCATATTAACAATATAAAATAAATAATGGTGGGAAAAGAGTAGGGAAATAAGCCTCTATCAGACTATTTTTGGTCTCTTTCCCTAATTAGCTCAGGCTAATGTTTTATGCCCCTTTAAAGTTTTATTTCTATGGCTTTTTGAGGACCAAAAGTAGCAGAATAATTTTTGTTACCCTCTGTCCCAGTGGTCTTCTCAAAAGATGTCATTATGAAATGTCATGTTCCTTTGGATTTGGTTAAACTCTCCACAGGAACTAGTGGCTGAGCAGCATATTTAAGTTGCGGGTGTGTCTATGTGACACTCAATTCCTACAGTAGCAGCACCTATCTAGGTCAGAGAGTAGTTAAACTGATTTCCCATTAAAGTGATCAAGAGATGCTACCTGCTCATGAATAATAAATACTAAAGCTTTCCATCTCCCAAGACTCTAATTAAATTATCAATATAAGATCGGCTTATATTGAGAACTAGATTTTGAAAAACAATTTTAGGTGGCAAGCAAATGACTTTATATGTTTAAAACACACACTCTGAGGTCTCATCTTTCTGGAACCGTGATTCACTAAGTGGGGACTGTGGTTTGAGTGTGAGTCCCACAAGTTCATGAACTGGAATCCCAGTTCCTCAGTGTGACACTGTTGGCAGTTGGGACTTAGCAGGAGACGTCTGAGTCATGGGGTGGGGTGGGTGGTGGTTGTGAATGGATTAGTGCTTTTCTCCTGAATGGGTTGGCTAGCATGAAAGTCTGGCACCTCCCTCCTCTTCCAATGTGTATCCATTTGCTCTTTCACTCATGAGATCCTCGTGCTAAACTAAACAGGTAGGGGCTGGTGAGATGGCTCAGTGGTCTAAAGCACCTACTTAGAACAAGCTTAGCAAAGCACAAGGACCATGGTTCAATCCCCCAGCACCACATGCCAGCCAGCCCTGCCCCCTCGTGGGCTGAGCTGGCCACACACACACACACACGCACAAATAAATACATAAATAAAAAAAAATAAAATAAACAGGTGCTAGCGGCATGCTCTTCAACTTCCTAACCTCTAGATTATGAGTCAAAACCCACAAAATGTGGTTCTATTTTCTTTACACCTTATCCAGCCTCAGGCATTCTGCTACAGTAACAGAACATGGAGTAAAATGGTAGGAGAGGGGATTTGACAGTCTAAATTTTCAACACATATTCTAGGTGATTCCAAATGCAGGTAGATCCAACGGTTCACTCAGAGAACCATAAACTGACGTTATATGATAGTTATGCATTACATGAATCGCCAGGATGGCTCAATGTGATCACCTTAATGTACCTATGTTTAGAAACTCTGAAAATTGAAAATGCCTTTATATCATGCAGGTTGGGAATATGCTGTGTTTTTTCATCGATAACATAGCTGGTACTTGCTTTAACTTGCATGCTTTTATGTTGGAGTATTTTCAGAGGCGTTTCAGACCTGTAAGTTTGTTTGAAACTTCTATTCATTCTTTGGGAAGCACAATAATGGGCCTGAGCACAGCTTTCAAGGCAAACAGACCAAAAAAGAAGATAACAAAAATAGTAGGCAGAGAAAACAAACTAAAAATAACACGCTAAAGATGCCACAAAGAGGAGGGAATACCCACAGCTGTGGCAGCCCTGCTTCTAAGGGGGAAGAAGAGCTTTTGTGTTGAACACAAAGCCCAGCTCTTTCTACCTCGGCCTGCCACAGCACAAATTACAGGTGTCTTGTTTTTAAAAATCTTGTTCTAAGAGAATAATGGTAGACTTCTACTTTTTTTTTTCAGTATCAGAAGGGAATACACAAGAATTAAGTCTCTATAACATTTCTACATGTAGGGTCTAGATTAAAAGTTGCCTGGAGAAAGGCAAACAGGAAGATGCAGAAATTTCAGTTTGTTCCTGTGGAAACATGGAAGATGAATATTTGTTGGAAATGCTCACTTTAAGTTAAATCTCTGCCAAGTCATCAACAATGTTCAATTTAGCTACAAAGCTTCTAGTTTAAAATACATCAGTATATTTGAATAATATAGACACTTTATATTAGTAGAGGACATTGTGCCCATAATTTATGGCCTTTGTGCTTGGACATTCTCAGAAGTTGCATTTGGTTTGGAAAGCATGTTCTGTCTTGTGCTTCCAGTCCTCCCACTGATACACATTTTCTTTCTTAACAGGGAAAGTCCTTTGCTCTTGACAAAGCAGGAGTGCAAACTGCTTCTAGAACATTCCTGTTTGTGAACTGTGCTAATGCCTTCTTGCCTATCCTTACTAGGATCTGTGAATTCAACGCTAATCAGTTCTTTTACTTTTCAAATCTATCTGTAAATATAAAATGAACTGTATATATCATATGCATGCACTGATGTGCTGTTAATGTCTCAGCTGACTCCCTCTGTGCGGCCTCTGGGGTGCTTGCTCAGTCCCTCCACCCACCCCAGGACCTCCGGTCACTCTCGGGGCCCTGTAGAATCACTATGAGGTGTGATTCTACAGAATCACTTTCTTTTCTTTCTTTTTTTTTTTTTTTTTTTTGTAGAACCAGGGATTGAACTCAGGGATAATCTCAAAATTTAATTCAGTATACTGGTTAGCTGCTCATTGAGAGAAAAGATGACATACAAGTTGTCAAAATTGTATACTTTATTTTTATTTTTTTGTATACTTTATATTAATACACAAATAATACCTTAAGGAAAAAAATCATCTCTATATTAATAATTTCATACTCATACTCCATGTAGGAAAAAATAGATGTGCACCCAAAAAGAGCTTATGATAAGAAACATTTTTCTACAGATAAAATTGTTATTGAAGGCTCCAACTACTGTTGTCTTGCATAATATAAATATAAAATAAGATATTTTGAGCCTGGAGTACTCATGTAGGCCACAACTTCCTTCTTTGTCTCTTCGAAATCTCATTCAAAATATGCCATCTACTGCAAAGCTTTCCTGAACTATTTTACTTTAAATTTTGCTCTTAATTATGGTTCTGGATCCCATCATATTGCCTTATTTTTAATAACACTTATTACCTTCCAATATAATATATTACTTTTATCTGTTTTGTACTTATTGACCTTTAAGAAAGGGTTCCAAGAGCTGAATGAGCTGACTCTCTGCTCAGTGAGGCATTTAACATCTAGAACTATTCCAGTCACATATCAGGTGATTAATAATTTTTATGTGATAAATTTACATCAGGGTTTTATTTTATAATAAGGAAAAACACCATGTAACAAGCATAAGTCTATTATTAACTATATGGATTTATGACTAACTAGAACTATTCAAAGTTTTCAGTTTTTTCTCTTTGGAACTGATTCATCCATTTTATCTCAAGACTCCTTGTTATATAGTGTTTCTCTTTATTGGTTAACTCTCTGTAATTTTCTTTTTCTTCCCTGTATTTTAGGGAAAGGTCTACAGGGTGTTCAGGGTCTCACTAGATTGAACTCATAGTGATCCACCTGCTTACAGTCTCCCATGTGCTGGGATTACAGGCACGCACCACCATGCCCAATCTTAATTGCCATCTCAGTGCGCCCTGGGGAATGGGCCGGCATGGTAGGCCTGGGGATTGAACCCCAGGACCCTATGCCTGTTTATGGGTACTTTAATCCACTAAGCTATTTGGCCAGCCATGGAGCTATTTGGCTGGCCCTAACTCTCTGCAACTTTCTAGAGTGGGTATTATTACCTCATTTTTCAGAAATTACAAAGTATAAATGACTTGATCAAGATTATAATATTAGTGTCAAGTTGGTACTAATACAAGCTTTAGTTATGTCAATGATTATGTACGCTACACTGACAAATACTACTTACTCATTACTCCTAAGTTTTAAGAATGCCAAAATATCCAGAGTGTCACATTACTGCTAATAAAGTCCTTGGTCTGAGAAACTGACTTCTCTATAGAATTTCAAATTAATTCCAAGTGTCACTGTGATATAATGATTAAATATCTTATTTTATACTTATATTATGCAAGACAACAGTAGTTGGAGCCTTCAATAACAATTTTATCTCTAGAAAAATATTTCTTATCATAAGCTCTTTTTGGGTGCACATCTATTTTTTCCTACATGGAGTATGAATATGAAATTATTAATATAGAGATGATTTTTTTCCTTAAGGTATTATTTGTGTATTAATATAAAGTATACAATTTTGACAACTTGTATGCCATCTTTTCTCTCAATGAGCAGCTAACCAGTATACTGAAATAAATTTTGAGGTTATCCCTGAGTTCAATCCCTGGTTCTACCAAAAAAAAAAAAAAAAAAAAAAAAAGAAAGAAAAGCATGGGCTTAGCTTTCAAAAAAAAAATAAAAAATAAAAAATAAAATTTTTGAGATTATCACTCTTAATTTTGTTAAAACATTACTCTTTGCAGAAAAAGTATCATACTTTTTTGTTGATTTGCAGTTTTTGCTTTAAATTAAACATACATAGTGGCTTTTAAAGCATGAGAGTATTATACCAGCTTAGATTAATCTAATTAGGTGAGCTTTTCTTTCACAGCATATGAAATTTTAATGAACCAAATAGTGTTCAAAACATAACTGTACTTATGACCAATCTCAGAACTATTTACATTGTGTAATGCATGAAATACACTAACAACAAAGTGCGGAAATGATGTTTTCATATGAAAATATGCTAAATAACTGGGTAATTGGCTTTTTTTAAATATTTATTTATTTTTATTTATTACATTTATTTATTGTGTGTGTGTGTGGCCAGCTCAGCCCACCAGGGGGCGCGGCTGGCTGGCATGTGGTGCTGGGGATCGAACCACGGTCCCTGTGCTTTGCCAAGCTTGTTTCAAGTAGGTGCTTTAGACCACTGAGCCATCTCTCCAGCCCCAATTGGCTTTAATTTGGAAAAAAATTGACTCTCTTCAATGTTGTTTCTTCAGGAGCATCTGGGTGATTAGCTTATCACCTAAATGTCACCTAATCGTCACAGCACGACCCCCATGGTAAACTAGTGGAGACTCAGCTCTGCACAGCCTACATAGTCAAGAATAAAGAAAAACTCCAGAGACATTTCTTTTCAAAATTCATGCATGCGTTACAGCTGCAGCCTCAGAAGGTGAGGCAGAAAGCCACCCAGAAAGATGGGTTTGTCCGAAACCCCCAAAAGGCAAAGGTAGACAAAAGCTTCCAAAATTGTCTCTGTAAAGAGAAAATCCTGATGGAAAGTGATACCCCCTCCAATTAAGAAATGCACTCTCAAATCATGAAATCAATGTTATCAATGGTTTAAGCATTTAAAATCTCTTCTATGGACAAGTCACAGTAAGAATCTAAGTACCTAAATTAAGTACTAGTAACCCGTCCCCATTTAACTGGAGAGTACAATCCCATACCCACATGAAAGAGGCCAGTTAGGAGGCAGCAGCGAACCCAGAGCCGCCCGGAGAACTTAGCGTTCTCCCTACCTGATGAGGCGAGCAGAACTTCTTGTCGCTGCTCAGTCGGTTTCCATCCATGGAGAAAAGGAAGCTTCTCCTTTTGACGCTGTCTTCTGACTCCGACTTGGGGACCCTGTCTCTCTCTCCTCTGTTGCTCCCTTCGGCGTGGTCCCTCTGCCTTCTTTTCTTCCTCCGGTTCCTCCACTCCTTGGCGCTTTTGGAGCTTAACTTGGAGGCTTCGGAAGAACTTTCCAAGAGCTCTCCTAACCCGCCGATCCCACTGAAATCTCTTGAAGCGGCAGATGCGGCCGCAACTGCCTGTTGTGAGACAAAGCCGAATACTGTTTAGAACGCGTCCCTTGGACGACAGGCACCGGTGGCCCAGCTCTGGCCATCTAAGACTATTAGCTATATGTGGACATGATGCCTTCTGGTTCCTTTATTTTTCTTTGACAGGAGAGTTTACTTAATGATGATCCTTGATGTTTTAGACAGTACACAACAATATGCTAGTCCATGTACACATTAAGGCAAAAAAAAAATGTGTGGTTTTACCTATCTCCTCGATTGAATTACATTTTCTTGTAACTCAGTTGAGAGTAGCTTCAATTTGGGGAACACTGGCGTTCTTAAAATAATTCTTTATATTATTTATTTATTTAGGTACAGGGTCTTGCTACGCAGCTCGGATTTGTAGTGATCCTCCTGTCTTAGCCTCCCCAACTCTAGGATTACAGGTGAGCACCAGCACGCCTGGTTTTGGGGCTGGCGCAGCATGCTTGGGGTTCTGCAGCCCACACAGCGTGCAGTGCCAGGAATCAAACTCAGGACTTTGCGCTTACCAGGCAGGAGCTTAGATCATCAATCTATCTCTCCCAGGCCATATTCTTTATATTTTAAAAATAAAGTTTTGTCAGTTAGCTACTCCTTTGGATCACCGTTCCAGCTCCATCCGCTGGGTTACTCTTCCTGTGTACGGCTATTAACTGAGTGGCATTATTTTTTTCTTTAAATCCAAGACAAGAAGTTTTTCTGTTTTATTTCCTGAACTCAAAATATTTAAACTAAATAATCTTTTACCCCTGATGGAAATGATGAGAATGTACTGGATAGATTTTTTCATCCTTTATTTCAATTACATTTAGAACTGAGGTTCATATCTCTAGGGTTATATTACTCCCAGAGAAGTTAATATATAGTACTTTATACTTTTAAAACCTAAGTTTTTACACACTAAAGTGATTAACATATAGGTATAATAAATGCCTGAAATATTTTTCAAAGGATTGTAAGAACCATAACATTTTAATTTTTTCCCACATTTGACTTTTTATAAAACAATACTGGGGATTGAGCTCAGGACCTTGTGCTTGCCAGAAAGGGCTATTTTTTGTTTGTTTGTGGTACTGGAGATCGAATTTAGGACCTTGCACTTGCCAGGCAGGCACTTATGCGGCTGAGCTATCTCCTTGACCCTCCCATATTTTAGCATGAAGGTTTCATATGCATTTTGAGTTTCAGAATCTACTAATGAAATACAGCTAGCATTGAGGTAAAACATGGCAAGTGTTTTTTTTTTTCCATGTATGGTAGTTCTACAATGGAAATGATTTAACCAGGACTTCCAGAAACTGTAAAATCATAATAGGATGTATATTAAAGCTGAGCTCTCTTTAGGTATACTTTTATTTTTAACCAACCATAGAAGTGGAAATAATTTTTTAGGTAAAATTTTACAGTTATCCTTAAGAAATACAAAGAGCTCTCATTTTATCTATCTTCCCTATGTATGGTAAGTTAGATAAGAACTTTGTTACTTTTTTGTATGAGGATAGTCTGATATGTCTCTAGATATAAAAAAGTTGCTCAGTAAATGTATGATGAATAAAGATTTTAGAAAGATGTCTTGGCCTTGACTTTTCTAGATCTTATAAGCCACTATATGTCAGAGTGACCTATGTGATAGAAACATATTTTGGACAGAATGAAGTTAAAATGCATGTCCAGAGCTTTGATAACAGATTTTGCTTTCTCTCTTCCTGTCAATTAGTTTTTATTTTGAATTATTATAATGTTCAACTAAAATTTATTTATTTTTAGTTGAACTTATTACTTACAACTAAAAATTTTTAAGATGTTAAAACATAAAAGAACTGTACTTCATGTTTTCCTGAGAGGAGGGAGCTATACTGTGACACACAGTCCAAAATGTCTATGTTCACCTAGTCAATACTTAAAATGTAATACAGACGTTTATTTGTGTAGATCACTATATTCATAGAGAAGTCCAGATCTAAAACTTCATAGAAGACAATCTCTAGTATTTAAGGGAAGCCAAATTTAGACTCCATAAAATATTTATAAAATTGTTTGTATTTAGATAACCAGATTTTTTAAATAATTCTTGCCTCTCACTATCACTTCTAATATCATTTATTGCTATTAAGGAGGGATATTAATAAATTTTATAATTTGATTACCCATGCATAATACTTGACTTTAGCAAATTATATATAGTTACATTGTACTTGATGGTAGGGCATACCTAAAATATACCATTTGTTGAAGGAATGGATATAAATGTATCATTATTATTCAAATAAGGTTTTTAATTCTCCTTTTCCATTGTACAGACGTAAACACAGTGATAATCATTTGTTTGCTTATTTTCCCCTGGAAACATAGGAAGTATTGGTAATATTCCCTTAGCGTAATCACGAAACACATGTTTAAATCACTTCTGGAATTTGTTTTGCATAAAACATGACTTCCCTACTTATTCAAAGTAATGGTTCAAATAGCTTAAAGCCAAAATAGACTTTTAAGGCAACAAAGGTAACTTCCAACACAACAGGTTTTCTGTGTCACTCATCGACTCAAACCTATCACTTTTTCCACTTACAGAGATTTTCTGAGTCCCTCAAAGGCAGATGTTTCCTGTCATCTCTTGCATCTGTCTACCTGTTTATAACCAGCTCCATGTCCATGAAACTACCAATGTCCTGTTTACTTGAAATAATGGTGGTTCATTTTATGGTGAACTTCCTGAATTTGTCTTGCAACAAATAACAAATTAGTATTTAATATTTACATAGGTAAGAATATTTTTCTTATAACATTTCTCTGTGATGCAAATAGTTTTATAACTCATGGTATGTGTTGCAAGATATAATCACGTAACTAATACTTGCTCATTTTAAACATAAAATCCCATTCAAAGCTATAAAATAGCAACTACACCTGTTTCAATTTTGTCTCTCATTATATTAAATCTCCTAAATGCCATTTCTAATTTTGGTCTATAGCTTACTCTTATTTTTTTTCTATTAGACTATATATACTGTCATGGATTATGGTACCTTGAACAATATCAGATATTTAATGATCATAAATTCAGAAATAATTAGTTTCCTAGCATAAAACATTTAGTTCTTGTAGGGTTGACCTTTTCCCGTCTTTTAGAGTTATGTTTTATTTGTGAGTTTAATGAGCTTGTTATTGTTTGTGTCTAGTTTCCCCCCAAAGCCTCATCTAGGTCATGGGGTGGACTTACTTCTAGAGTTTGTGATTAATTCGTGATCCACTGGGATTGTGGGCCCGAGTACTGCTGGGATTAGGGGTATGGGTGTGATTGTTATACCCAGCCTGGGGTGGATAGCCTGAATGTAATGTAAAACAGACAGAGGGACAGACTTGCTCTCTGTAGCTACTGTTGCTGTTACTTCTCTCTTTTGCTCTCGCTGTTTTCTGCCGCCATGAACTGCCGCCCTCTGCCATGTGCCAGGCTGCCTTGGAGCCAGCTGAGTATGGACTGAAATAAACCTTTCCTTCCTTCATTTTGGGTATTGGGTATTTGTACAAGCAATGAGAAAAGAGTAACTAAGATAGAATTTAATATGTCTTTTGTTTATATCCACACAATGACTAGTATTAGAAGAACTTAAATAGATATTAAATGTAAATGGAAGTATTATGGGCCTCTTAAAGTCATTAGGTAGCTATTGAACTTTGCAAAGTTAGTAAGCACAAACTAGGCTTTGTTACCATACAAACAATTTTAACAAGTCTTTCTCTCCCTCCCTTCTCTTTTTGCTTTCAACTCCCTCCTCTGCTCCAATATTGGCTTTACTCATCATCATTGTATTTGTTGTCAGGAAGGAAGGAAAATTGACTTGGTACTGTACTATGTTAATAAATATTAAAAGTTTCCCTAAATATTGTAAAGCTAAATCTGAGTCATGATTATTCAGTCACTGGCATCTAATAAATACTTTTAAGTGGATAGAATGGACATATATTAACTGAATTAATTATTAAGTAGAGAACTAGGACCTTTAAATGTTTTTTAAACACATCATTTCTAAATTCCAGTTTATACTACTTAATCAATTTTTATTTAATCCTAAATGTGGCTACATCTGAGAATAATTTTGCTCTTGTATTTTGTTATTGTATTGTTATTGGTGTAGCATTTTCAAGCAGACTACTCTGTCTCTTTTAAAAATAATGGTAGAATAATATTTTATAGTAATTATATGCAAATCTAGGCACATTGTTTTCTATAAAATGTATTTTTAAAACTAAAATCAGAAAAGTTCTCACTCTAAATATTACCTTGCTTTGCTGTCTTCTGAACATGTTTTATTTATAGCAACAAAATAAAATTCTTAAATGACTGATATATGGTAGAATGTTCTGGCAGTAAGAACAACATGAGATTTTCAGATTTGTTTCTGAATTTCTTTTCAAATCAGTGGGGTAGAATCAAGATCTGATAACTACTCCATATCCAAGAGAAGGCCACAAGGGGATTTGACTGAACTGTCAGACACAAAAGTTACATTTCTTGTTATATAGGTCTTGCTTTATCTTGGTCTTACCCATCCAGCAGAAAAGTATAGAAACAAGGTATAAAAAATAAAGCCATATTAATATATATATATATATATATATATATAATGAAGAGAAAAATTAATCAGCACTGACCAAGAACTTACACAGATGTGAGATTTACTACACAAGGCCATCGTGGATATTCAAAATATTCATCAGACAGAAGTGTAAAGAAGGTTCAGGCACAGTTTTATAGATGAAAACTATAATCTTTCATGAAGTTGTACTAGGTAAAATTAAGAGATTAGACAGTGAAGAAAAAAGATGATAAACTTGAAGATAGTAATAGAAATTATCTAAATTGAAATGGAAAAGCTTATACCAAAACTCATATGGACCAGCTAAAGCAGCCTGGAAAAGACAACCAATGTTAGAGCGCTAAGTCTTCGGCAGCAGCCTTACTGTGAAGCTGCAGTAGTGGGAGAACACAGAGCTGCTGTAAAGAGACAAGACACCCAGAACACTTTCGTGTACATAGATAATACTTCTCATGAAAGGTCAAATCCAATAAAGGATATTTTTGTCTACTGAATGGTATTGGGAAAACTACATACTCCGAAGCAAGAAAGACGATATGCATGACTCAAATTTTATGCAAAATTAATTTCTGTCTTAACAAAACATGAAACTTGCAGCTTAGAATAGAACTATTAGGGATTTAAAGTTTAACATATCATTACTTGATGGAAAATACCTGTTTCATGTTATGTCTAAGATGTTTGGTATTCAGATAGATAGTGAGATTAAGCTCAACTGTCTATGTTATAGGGTAATAATATCATTAAGCTTCTCTTCTGGAGGGTTAACAACTTAAGTTTGCAGACCAAAAGTTAGAGAAAAACAAGGGCTGGAAGGACAGCCAACATTTTGGCCCTAGCCTTTCAAGGTTAGTAAGGACTCAGAATATAGGAGAACCTGTACTGTAACATCATGTAACTCAGTTGTGTCCCAAATTTACTGATCAAGGAGATTATGGGGCCACAGAGGAAAGCAATCGATGATTTAGAGTGTGCCTAAGGAGAGTCACAAGGAGAGAAAACATTCTTTCAGGCTTTCACAGAGAGCAAATTGGTCAAGCAATGGCCGTGACTCATCCACATGGCCGACACTGGCAAAGGATCTACAAACTGTAATACAGGGTTTCAGGGTAAATCCTGAGGGGATTTGACTGAACTGTCAGACACAAAAGTTACATTTCTTGTTATATAGGTCTTGCTTTATCTTGGTCTTACCCATCCAGCAGAAAAGTATAGAAACAAGGTATAAAAAATAAAGCCATATTAATAGCTGAACTGTAAAAGGCTCAAGTCAAAAACTTCTGATGTTGCCAGTCCTACGGATAACCAACTACTATTATGGACTACTGGACTATATTAGAATATTTTGCTGAATTCACACACCTGCAACATTTAAATGGCCATGGAATACCCATCTCTGATAAAACTAAAGAATAAAAGGGTATACAAATGAAGGACCATTTTGTATCTGTATATTCAAAATAGTTAGGATAGATATACAGCTACTTTCTCTTAATTCAGTGAGAAGAAAGATTTGTACTAATAGTGTTCAGATAGGATATCATGTCTGCATCTTGTATTATGAATAACCAGTATGAAGACAACTATATGCAATGCATTAATTATTGAAACTGTCCTATTAATCAGTTTTAAAACTGTCTCATTGTTATTTGTTTCTTAATAAAATTAATGAAAAAAAGACTGCCAAAACTATCAGAGTACATCCTTGGTCTATTGGTTTGGCAAAGGTTTGTTAGGTACTACATAAAATTCACTAATTTCTTTCTTTTTTTTTTTTTTAGAATCAGGGATTGAACTCAGGCCCTTGTGCTTGCCAGGCAAGCACTTATTCTACTCAGCTATTTCCCCATCCCCCTGAGTTTGTTTTTTTGGGAAAAGGTCAAAAGTAAATAAACTTCATAAAGTGTGTGTTATCAATTTTTTAAAACTTTCCTCTTAAACCATACTGTTAGGAGAAGGATCATACTAGGAGATAACATTCTCAAAGTGTACAAATGTTAAAGTATTTGTACCTAGACTACCTAGAGAGCACTTAATATTCTAATGAGAAGGTAACCTGCTGAAGAGAATAGAAAAAGGACAGATTTAAAGATTTGAGTAGCTATCTCACAGTAGAAATATGAAGATTAAAAATAATGATACATAAAGCTGTTTAGCATCATTGTCAAAATAAATGCACATTAAAAGAACAATGAGATACTTATTAGAATACCTAAATTAAAAAGATTGACCATATAAAAAGATTGGCAAGGATTTGGAAGAACTACAACTCTAACTGACATGAATCAGTTCTTACTATGTTTCCCACAATCTTCCCCTTGCAGTGTAGCTATTCCTGCTCACTTTTTAATTCAACACTGTGCTTCGCCCCAGACAAGAGGCCCAATATACTACAACCCCAACTCAAATAAATTAATATTAATAAGAAATCTAAAGTTGGCACATGATTTCTGATGCTGCCCTAATATCTTGGCATGACTACAGCAGACATCTCCTGTATCCCAAAGACCAATCAAGTGTTGGTATGGATAAGGTTTTCTTGTTAACACCTGAGATCAATTAACCTCAGAACAGAACCTCAAATATTATCATTAGAAGTGAAAAATTTTTGAAGGAGATAGCAGATATATTTCTTTTTCGAATTTAACTAAAATTAAATTCTTCCTTCAGTTCCCATGAGACCATTGCATAGTAAACCTTACACTCAATGCAATCTCTACTTAGCACAAAGTTTCTTTATAATAATATATAATGTTTACAATGATTCTTGGCCTCAAACTTCAGAATCACTTTCAGGACTGAACAGCTTTGTAATTTGTAATGATAGTATCTATGTGCCAAATGAAAAGCCAATTCAAATTAATCCCTGTGGTACAGCAAGATCTGTACAATGATGACAATACAAAACTATCGAGGCTGGGGAGATAGCTCCATAGAGTAAGTGCTTGCCTGGCCAAGAGCAAGGGCCTGAGTTCATACCCCCGGTTCTGCAAGACAATACAAAACTATGATGATAAAGATTTGCATGGACCACTTGTACCTGGGCTTCTTCCTGCTGCTTTTTCAACTGTTCGAGCATCTGTTGGAATTCGGCCTCTTTCTGCTCAGCCTCTTCCAGCGTGGCCTGATTCTGTTCCTCGTAGGCCATGGCCACCACAGCCAGGATCAAATTCACCAGGTAAAAGGATCCCAAGAAAATGACGAGGACAAAGAATATCATGTAGGTTTTCCCAGCAGCGCGTAACGTCTAGGGAAGAGGGAACAATCTCATTGATATTTTAGTATAATTTCCCCCAACAAAGACTTGATTACCCAGTGAGAGATATTCTCCATTACTTGAAACACACTTATGCCACAGCTTTTGCTGCTTTTGGAAGCAGTTCTGGAAGTTCTCAAAAGCGTCTCCTGCAAAAGTGGTGTGATCAAAAATAGGTGAATGCTGCTGCCAACCTTCATTTAACAGAAAGGCATGTTCATAAAAACACAACAGTGTGCCTTCATTACCTGAGAAGTCACCCACTCCTGCGTCTTCCAAAAGTCAGAATGACTAAGAAAGGGAAACATTTTGAAACAGTTCAGAACAGGGAGACATCCAGGACAGTGCAATTAAGGACTTGGAAAAGTGGTCTACCAGAACTGCTTCCAAAAGTGGTGAGAATGATGGGATAAGTGGGTTGGAACTGAAGTATTTTGAGGGTAATTACTGGTGATAGGTCCTTTACTATTAATAAAGTTTAAAAATTTTAAAATATTTATCCTATTTGCTGGCCATACCTCATAAGCACACTTCAAGTTAGCATAGACTGTGTATATACTTGAACCCCACTACAATGCCTCTGTTATGGCTCATTAAGCAAAGCTCTGTCACAAATGGAGGTTCCATCTCTAACTTCTTTTGGTGGGTTTCCACACCTGCAGCATCATGCACTTTACACCATCTAGAGACACTGCCTTTCTTCCTGCCTCTTCTAGCTTCAGTTAGCTATTGCTCCATTTCAAATTTATTGAACTGATCTTTCAAAACCTTATTTCATGCCAGTTCTATCTCCACAACTACATTATGAGCTCCCTAAAGTCATCAATATTCTTTGCATTCTCCCTAGCCCTTGGCAGAAAGCCTGTACCCTGTGAGAATACCTCTCTTCCCAGGCTGAATGCAATTCTGGCTGAATGAAGGATGGATGAGGAGTCTGGGGACAGTTGCCGCACACTGTATTCTCTTCAGTATATCAGAGGTTTATTAACAAGTGTCTTTATCATTTTGTATGTAAAGTAAGCAAAACTATGTCTATCATTTTATATGTGCACATAGAAATAAATACCACATGTGTTAATTTGGACCTTACCAACTGGTAAAGATTCTCCCAGAAGTCCTGAGTCATGAGTCGAAATAGAGATAAGAAAGCCCAGCTGAAAGTATCAAAGCTTGTGTAGCCATAGTTGGGATTTCGACCAGCCTTCACACAGATGTACCCTTCTGGACACTGGCTGTAAAAGAGAGGAATGACAGTGTGCTCAGTGTAGATGCTACAGAAATTTCAATAGATCTCAACTCACAGGAACAGTCAAATGCCAGGGTTATTATTTTTGAAGATTGTTTTTGGCTTTCATTCTTTTTATTATTGATTGATTGATTGGATACAAGGTCTTGCTGCACAGTTTAGAATACAGTGGTCCTACTGTCTCAGCCTCCCCAGCTCTGGGATTACATGTGGGTGCCACCACTCTCAGCTTCAGAGCTGGCACCAAGTGCCTAGGTTTCTGGGGCTATGGGGATTGAACTTTGGTCCTTGCACTTGCCAGGCAGGTGTTTAGACCATTGAGTTTCTCCCCAGTACACTATTTTACACTTTACAAAGTTGTAAGAATCAGTCACTAAACATTGAAAGTGAGAAACTTATCAAAGAGATGGAAACCACTTAGTGGGCTATTTCAGTAATCAGTTTCATAAATGTATGTAAAATAAAATTTATATTTTAGAACGAATTTGGAATTACAGAAAAATCATGATGAAAGTACAGACATATATGCTATGCTCAGTTTCTAATATTGATATATTATTATTAAAGTTTGTGCTTTATTGATGTTTCCCCAGTTTTTCCTTGTGTGCGTTCCTGGTCATACACTTTCTGCTTTTTTCACTTTAGACTTCTCTTTATGTGTCAGTGTTTTTGACTTCTCTTGTTTTTGATGAGGTTAGTGGTTTTGCGCACAAGTCAGGCACTTTCTAGAAATGCCTTTATTTGGGGTTTGTCTTATTACTACTTTAGGGTTATGGAGTTTTGGATGAAAGACTAGAGAAGTCAGGCACCATCTCATCATGCCAAGGATACAGCATAGCTTATTACTCTTGATAAATTCTTCCAGCTGACTTGATGAGCGCTTGCTGTGTTTCTCCACTGTAAATTTTCTTTTTTTCTTTATATTTCATTGTACACTCTGAAATTAAGTCAGAATGTGCAGCTCACATTTACAGAACAGGCACTTGTGATCTCCGTAAAGGCAGAGTATTAACAAAAATTATTCAGATTTTTAAATGTAATGCAGTGATCTTTTTCTTTCCTGTTAAGATCTATCTTTGCCCACTGGAACCTTTTTATTTGGTTGATACCTTTCTCACTTTGACCTACCCATGGTTGCAAGTTTTGTCTTTGTTTCCTGGGCCTTTCTTACTTTCTGCCACTAGAAGATGTTCCAGATTCACCTTTAATCTCACCAGTTCTAAAACCAACCTTTTCTACAGAGAACAGTGTTTCCTTTTATTGGAGAATAGTATTAGAAATCCAGATCTGGTGCTAGCAGGGCATCTTTTGCTGATGAAACATTATTACTTCTAGGTCAGAACAAGAACAAACATGTATAGGGTACCTGGAGACCTGCAAACAGATCTAAATGAATATCTATGTTTGTCACCATTCATGTACGGATTAAGCTAAGCTCGAGCTCATGCTCACATCTCCAGCTTGAATCCACTACCACAGGAATATTTCATATCTCTCTCTTTGCTTATTTGTAACTTGTCTTTCTGTTCACTTTCTATTTATTTGTCAGCACATGCAATAGCAGTTTTGGGATTATCAATCCGCATTACCATGAGGATTATTTTACATACTGGCATATATGCTGCCTGCTTTTAGTCTCACAGACTCCAGCCATTTCGTCATCATTACCCCACTTCCTTCAATAGGTTTGTTTCATTCATTAACATTTAATTATTTGTGTCACATTCTTCTTTTAATTTTTCCTGGAATCCCACCCTCACAAAGGATTTTTAAAAATAATTTGCAAACAATGAACATTCACTCTTTGTTCTATGAGTTTTGACAAACGCTTATTGTTTTGTAGTCACCATTATATAATCATATTAATTAATTTCTCCATGATAAAAGTATAATGGAATATTACCTGGCTATTAAAATAATGACAAATCTTAGATATTTATGGGGAAATGGATGTACCTGGAAAATATACTTTTCAGTGAAATATGTCAGACTCACAAGCTTAAATCCTGTTTGTCTCATTTGAGTGAGACAATCTACAAACAAAGAGACTAAAAAAGGATGGATAGAAGGGGACAAGCAGGTAGATATCTTGCAATAGGGAAGAGGGTCAAAGGAACATGGGCAAGGGGCAAAGAGGAAGAGAAGGGAAATAAGTAGCATAATAGCATAATTTGACATGCACAGACGCCTGCTAACCTCCGCAAACAGAAACACTCTATGGCATTATGTGAGTTAAAATTAATAATCTACAGGAATAAGATTAAGGAGAAGGGAATTATAGGAGGAAAGAGAGATGTGCTATGTACACATATCCATTCCCAAATATGATCGTAAACCGCATGTACTGCAATGTACTAATAAAATAAGAAAGCAAGAAACTCCCCTGGGCTCTCCTAGTCAAAACCCCATTTTGGTTCCCTGCAAACACTGATCTTGTCCTCAGCTCTATTGTTTTGTCTTTTCCAGATTATCAAGTAATTGGCATCACTATGTAGCTGTTTCAGGCTGGCTTTCTTTCATGCAGGCACATGCATTTTCCAGATTCAACAAAATGTTTATGGATTGATAGCTCATTTCTTTTTAGACCGGGTAATATTGACTGCATATATATATATATATATATATATATATATATATATATATATATATATATAAACAATATCTGATGATTTATAAATAGAGCTGTTATAAACATTCATACCTAAGTTGTTGTACAGACATGCGTTCAAATTGATTGCTGAACTATCTAACAATGCTATTGCTTTAATCATCTGCCAAGACCATGTTTATTTTGTAACAATTGCCAAGCTGTCTTTTAAAATGGTGGTAACTTTTGAATTCCTACAAGCAATTAATGAAAGTTTCTGCCAGTGGCAATCCACTAAGTCAAACAAGGTGGACAGGCAACACTACTTTTATCATTTACGTAGAAGGCTTCCTGTATATATTTTTTCTTACCAATGTTTGTTGCAAAGTATTCTACTTTTTATTTTTTAAGAATGTAATCCTTACCCTGCATCTGAGCCATTTCCACACAGTAAAGGATCTTTTTGTCCATCCAAAACATAGAAGTGACCTGTCAACATAAATAGCAAGCTTTATTTTATATTAATCTTATCCATATTAGGAATCAATCAAATTTCAATTATTTCAGTTGTTTCTGCAGGATATACCAATTGTGCGCATGTACAAAGGGAACTTCACATGCGCAGTCTCAATTCTAGTTGTAAACACGTTCTAAGGTTAATGTATGTGGCAATACTTACTGTCATCTCCAATGTAATCCTTCCAATTAAATGTGCTCATTGTTACATTAATAAATGTCCCATTCGAATCCATTGTGCCATTAAAATAGGTAGTGGTGTTGGTTTCAAAAGCAGCATTGCTAGGGGGCCATTGCAAACATTTATTCCGCAGGTTGCCCATGAACAGCTGCAACCCAATTAAAGCAAACACGCTCAGACAGAACACAGTCAGGATCATGACATCAGAGAGCTTCTTCACCGACTGGATCAGCGCCCCCACGATGGTCTTTAAACCTAAAGAGAGGGAACTGCATGTCAGCTGAAGATGAGAGCCATAAACCAGTATTTCTTCTGAATATTTGCATACTTTGTTTGCTTTCCCACAATTATTTGCTTGGCAATACAGATGTTAAAGCATTATGGGTAACCAGATGAGTTGTAAAATACATGAAAGGCAAACTTTATGTATGAACTATACGTGTTCTGAAGGTTCAAAATGAAAGTTTATAATACGTAGGAAGTAAGTATGGTATGGTTTTTAATGTACTGCCACAGACATGTAAAAGATAAAGTGATTAATTTTCTTCTCTTTGGGATTTTGTGTTTCATGAGGCTGTTTCTCTCCAAACCATTCTTCACACTTGCCTCCAAGTAGCAGTGATTTCCAGGAGAAAAGAATTTTAAGATAATAGAAATCCCATGCCATATGCATGGCATTCCATAATAATCTTTTCTCCTATATAAAAGATCTATTTTAAAAATAGATCTGCAGCAAATGGTAAAATACAGATCAGCTTCTAAAGCCATGGTAGCAAAGCTTTATCAGAATGCAAGAGAGAAAGATTTTACATTGTAAATGAGAGAGAAACCAGTTACTTTTAAAATAGGTATCTCATGCAATTTCTGTTAAACTCAAAGGCTGACTTTATATAAGCATAAAATTCTGAAAATTTTAGAAACTGGACTGGCATAAAAATATTTTTGTAATCCTTGCATATGATAAATAATAAACAAGACTAATGTCATGCTTGTAACCTCCACCACAATATCACCACTGCAATGTATTTAAAGTCAGCCTCGGTGTTTAACTTAGCTCTCACCTGGAATGACTGAAATAGTTTTCAGTGCTCGGAGAACTCTGAATGTTCTCAACGCTGAGACATTGCCCAGGTCCACAAACTCTGTCACATATCTGTAATGGGGAGTTCACACACAAACACAATAACACACAAGAAAAGTTGGAGATATAAGGGGCCTACCACCTTACACCAGTTTCTTCTTACCTGGAATTACAGAAATAGTTTTCAGAGCTCGCAAGACTCTGAAAGTTCGAAGGGCTGAAACATTGCCTAGGCTTACAAATTCTGTTACATACCTGTAGAATTAAATCAGAGTTACTGATAGTTTTGGCAAAGTTAATACTAAATAATGAATTCATGTTGGATTTGGCACATAAAGCCCTTTGAGTTTAACAAATGACAGTTCTATAGACCTCGGCGTGCCATATGTTGAAGGTTGCCTTTAAAGAAAAAAATATTTGTTGCTTTATTTCCATGTAATCTTCCTAATCTGATCACATTTGTTTACAAGACTAGCCAAAGTACAGTTGCTGTTTTAAAGTTCAGTCAATTAATAACTTCATTTTGATGAATCTAAAAACTAAGGAACATGAAAGTAATTCCATTTATGGCTCATTTACCAGATTATTTAGTTTGCAATATGTATTCTAATATATACTCTCGTTATAATGAGGAATGTAGTTAATTTAACTAGTGGGACAGATCTATATTTAAAATATGTTCCAACCACCAAATTTACACTGCAAATATTTTCTTTTAACATCAAATTTTTAAAAATTACTCACGCCATCACAATGACACTGAAATCCAGCCAGTTCCATGGATCCCGAAGGAATGTAAAATCTTCTAAGCAAAATCCTCTTGCCAAGATTTTTATCAGTGACTCAAAGGTATAAATTCCAGTAAATGTGTATCTAGGAAAAGGTATCCAAGCCAAAATTAACCATTTCACTTGCATTGGTAAAATAAATTTTAAAGTATGGCAAATGCTACATTTTTATTAACTTTTAATTTGCTAAAAGTTTGCTCTTATTTCTACTCACCAAAAGCAGTACTAATTTAATTAACATTATAAAACCAAGTTAAGGGTGAAACTGAGGTGAAAATATATTCTATTAAAGTGAAAATATATTCTTTAAGAATCCCTTCCAATTAAACTAAGTTTTAGAATAAAACTTTGTATAACTTGAATATAACTTTGTATATTTTGTGAATAATCATTAAGTTTGTATCTTTAGAATAGCAGTGCCCATAAAAATACAATTTATTCTATTTTTTAATTAATTTTATTGAGAGACAAATAGCAATGAGACATTTTCAAAACCGATTAGTAGGACAGTTTCAATAATTAATGCATTGTATATTGTTGTCTTCATAGTGGTTATTCAAAGAACAAGATGCAGACATGATATCCTGTCCAAACACTGTTAGTACAAATCTTTCTTCTCATTGAATTAAAAAAAGGAGCTGTATATCTAGCCTATTTTGTATATACAGATACAAAATGGTCCTTCATTTGTATACCCTTTTTTCTTTAGTTTTATCAGAGATGGGTATTCTATTGCCATTTAAACACTGCAGATGTGTGAATTCAGCAAAATATTCCAATATAGTCTAGTAGTCCACAATAGTAGTTGGTTATCTGTAGGACTGGCAACATCAGAAGTTGTTGACTTGAGCCTTGTACAGCTCAGCATATTAATATGGCTTTACTTTTCATACTTCATTATTATACTTTTCTGCTGTATGGTTAAGACCAAGATAAAGCAAGACCTATATAACGAGAAGTAACTTTTGTGTCTGACAGGTCAGTCAAATCCCCTCAGGATTTAGCCTGAAACTCTGTACCATGGTTTGTAGATCCGTCATCAAAAACATAATGTAAGACAAAAAATCTAATACTCTGATTCCTAGTGACCAAATAAAAAGATAAGAAAGATCTAGTAAATGTAATTCTCATATTAAATTTTATTTAAATCAATATATCCAGAGTATTATTATTTCAATGGTTAAAACCAGACAAATTTCATTTCAATAATATGTAGCTGTTGGCTCCCTAACTGGACGAGACCACTTTAAAGTGTAACATTGCTTGGATCCATTTATTTATGATAAAATGTTTTCACACAAATACCATAATGATTAGATTCATATTTAAGACTATTTTACATGTTATTTAGAGAGTATACTTTCTTTTATTTGGATCAATAAATAAATGTAAAGTGTAGAATTATAAAACTACTCCTGTCTCTCTCTCTCTCTCTCTCTCTCTCTCTCTCTCTCTCTCTCTCTCTCTTTCTTTCTTTCTCTTATTTATGATTATATATAAAAACCATACTTTTATATATAAACATATACTTGATTTCATAAAGCTACATGTATAGAATTATAAGAAATGCTTCAATTTCCTATTATTTTTTTGTGTGTCTGTATGTGTGTGTGTGTGTGTGTGTGTGTGTGCACAACTACTAAAATTAGCAGATAAATAAAATTCTTGAACCTGACACTGAATCAGCTACTATTCTTATGCAGGGGTCAAATAATTGGACTTACTTGAATTGAAATTTAAGCCTCCATAATGGTGAAAAACATTTTTTTTTTGCTATAATGTGGTGTATTTCCAGTCTTTTTTTCCTTTAAGAATTGACAATAAAAGTTATTTCTGTTTTAATTTTTCCAAAAATAGTACTTCCAAAAATAGAGTACTTCTTTTCAAAAATTTTGTTCTCTAAAGGTACACTTATTATTTTCAGAATACCTCTCCCAAATCATAAAGATTTGATTTAATTTTATTATAATTCATTATATTTCCCAGTCTATAAGTGTCACATCTAACAGCATTACATGAAAAATATTAGGCTAGATGTTTCTGAAATGTTTCAACAGAAAGTTTTCTCCTAAAAGAAAACAAAAGAAAGTACACGAAGATGTGTGCAGAACTCTTCCTTCCCAATTTTCCTAGGTACATACTTCTATTTTCCTAAGAAATCTTGATTTATGAGGAACAAACATCATCACTATTCTTACTTAGCATGAGCTACCTCAGTGCTAGGAAGAGTTTTATTTTACAATCCCAAGTTTATGCGTCCTTAAATTTTATTTTTTATTTTTTGTTTTTTCAAAGTTTTATTGATAAACAGATAGCAATGAGACCATTTCAAATCCAATCGGAAGTACAGTAGCTTTATGAAATCAAGTATATGTTTATATACTTTCAAATCCAATCGGAAGTACAACAAATAATACACTGCATATATTCTTCTTAGTGGTTAATTGCTGTACACGAAGTGGACTTGTGAAGCTATTTACAAACACCATTAGAACAAATCATTCTATTCATTAAGAGAATGCAACTATATATCTATCCTAACCACTTGGAATACACAAATACAAAATGGACATTCATCGGTATACCCCATTTTTTCTAAGTTCCATTATTGAATATTATAGGTGTGTAAACTCAGCAAAATATTCTAAAAGAGTCCAGTAGCCCATAATAGCATTGGGTCTTCTGTTTAACTGGCAATGTCAGAAATTATTGACCTTAGTCCCGCACAGCTCAACATAACAGCATGGCTTTATTTCCTATAATCTGAGGTACGGGATCTCAAGACAAATCCTGAGGACATTTCACTGACCTTCTCAGACCAAAAAGCTACAACTCTTGTTGCACAGGTCCTGCTTTACCTTGCTCTTAACCATCCAGTAGAAAAGTGTGAAGATGAAATATAGCGTCCTTAAATTTTAGCATAGATTTTTGTGTACTATAAGTAATTGCCATGACATTTCTGTTAGGAGAGTTAGCTGGCCTTTAAAAACATCTGTTCATCACATTAGGACATAAAGCCCCACAGGCTCTGCTATGCTATCTACAGAGTTACAGAGAGTAAGATTAAAGTCTCCACTTCTAACTAAAAACAACTATGGGACATTTGGACTGTATGATTTTAGTAGCTGTTATAGAGGAGGGTTTTAGAGCTTAAAATTTAAATGGAGTTTTCAAAAGATATTCAACTGTGAGTATTAGCAAACAGATTGGACAGGTAAGTGAGAAAGAGGAGACCTTGCTGTTTCTTGGCTTGGCCCCCAACAGACTTCTGATCATGTAGTCCCTGAAGTTCTTGTCAGGATGCTTTGTCTATAATTAGGAGGTCTACAGAAGCGCCCCAGCTCACTAGCTTTTATCACCCTCAGACTGTGCTGGCTAGGACATAATTTGCACAGGGACTGTTTCAGAAACAAGACTTCTACTTGAATCTTAGAATTGAATTCTCTTTGCATTGGATGCTTTCTTCCTGGTAGCAACCATTAATACTTTCCTTTTTCTCCCTGCTGTCTGGTTGTCAAGTGATCAGAAAACTTGTACAAGGTTTTCTAATTGGAAGATGTAAATGAAAAACTTGTAAAGCCAAGTCTGCTTTCATAGTATGTATAAATTTCTAGGTTAACTTTGTTCCTTTAAAAGATTCCCATATTCAGGGGCTGGTGAGATGGCTCAGTGGTCTAAAACACCT